GCGGAAAATGAGAACAATCAATGCAAAGGCTCCGGAAGAACAGTAATCAGCGAAATCCCGTTATAACAATAGAACAAGATAATCACTGCTTTCACAATGTGTTTCACAATGAAAACATGAGCAGACAGACAGTGCATGGCGGTGTTGCAAGGGCCACAGTAAGAGCAAATTCAAATATAGCATCTTTGGATACAATCTACTGCGATTTGAAGGTTTTGACTAAAAAATCGTACACAGTCAATGTATTGCAGTTCGCAAAATCGGTGGAGCACTTGTTGGAACGGAAGGGAGAGACAGGTAACAGACTGCTAAACGGCATACAAGTTAGTCAGAATCTTAAGCAGACGAAGATAAAACTCGTCAGAATCTTAAGCAGACGAAGATAAAACTTTACTAGAAGGGCAGTAAAATCAGACCAGGTAACAAACACAAATCTAAATTACTACATCGCGTCAAAAACATGGTTCATAGATAATACCAGGCTGGAACGCACCAGGCGAGCCGGTGTGACCGTGCGTTTTTGCACCATACTTGAAGTAATTAAGTTAACTGCATGAACGGTTGTTTCTTCACACCTATCTTGTGCGCTAAATACCGCAAATCATCATAAATTTTGCATAAAAATAAACAATTCCCGTTCAGTGGTTGTTTTTATTGGAAAATGACTCAGCTATTCAGCGAGTAATTTTCCCGCCGAAAATTAAAGTGTCCGTGCACGGCAACTACGCGTAGGTGGAGGCTGAGTTTGAAGCCTTTAAGTTGTATTTGGACGGGGAATATTCTCCTAAAATCTCAGCTTTCCAGCTTTTCTGGCTTCCGAGTTAGCCATTTTTCCGTAAAAAAAGTTTCACGGCGCCGTACGTGAGAGCCACGCACGCCTGGGGGCTGAACTTGATAACTTTAAGTTGCACATGGACTAGGAAAATCCGCTTAAAATATCAGCCTCCCAGCTTTCCTCTTTCCAGAGTTAGCAATTCTTTCCGCCAAAAATTTTTGCGGAGCCAAACGTGAGAATCACGTCAGATAGAGGGCCGAATTTAATAATTTTAAGTCGTCATGGGCTGGGAACATTCCTTGAAAATTTCAGCCACCCAGCTTCCCATCTCAAGTTAGCTACTTTTCCGCCAAAAAGTCTCACGGGGCTGTATGCGGGGACCGTGCACACTTGGGGGCTGAATTTGAAATCTTTAAGTTATATATGGACGGGGAACATAACCTCAAAATTCCAGTTTTCTATCTTTTTTCGTTCCCAATTTATCAATTTTCCCGCCAAAACTTTCACCCCCCTCCCTTACGCAGGGCCCAGACTTGCGTGGGTGTTGGTACCACGATTCTGGGATGGCACTTGGCCGGGGAGCCTACTAGCAAAATCCTGGCGCTGGAACTTGCTTGGTTGCCAAGTTGAAATACCCAGACACACACACACACACACGCACACACACACATACACACACAGAGTCTTCGCAATATGCGCTTTTGTAATTTGCATATAGGTAAAAACACATAAATTAAACAATTTAAAACTAAACAAAAGAAACAAATTAAACAATTGAAAACTAAACAAAACAAACAAATAATATTCAATTAAAAGCAGAATGTGAAAAATGTCACATTTTAAAAAATTAGGCAAAACGTGAGAAAAAAATTTAATTAGAAGTGATATTTTAAAAAATGCTCGTCAAAAAAAAACTGGGACGCTCCACTCTCTCTCCTCCCTCCCCATTCTTTGTTGAGAAATTATGTAAGACGGTGAAAGAACTAAAAAGACAACGTCCAGCATTAAACCCTTGGCCGTCACTTCAAGAAGACTCATAGCATCTCCGAGGAGGTAAAACGAAAAAATAACTTTTTCGACCGGAAGAAAATAAGCACAACCACCCTGAAAAGCAATAACTTCTCTCAGGTCCCTGTGGCTAACAACGCATGTGTTGAAGCTTAAAGAATCAAAACAGTGCTACAGCCTGTTTTTGAAACTCACTGTGGGCCTTTTCCATCGTGACTGAATCCGCAAGTACTGAACAGATACATGTTGGAGTATTTTATGTGCATAAAACTTTGATGAGGACGGAGTGAATACAGGGGAGCCGAAAACCCCAGAGATCCGCAGCTAAAAAAGAAAAAATCACCACCGATCGCTGGACTGTCGCCTCGCAGCTTCGATATTACTAAGATGCAACTATTGCCCAAGCACGACTTAGTCAGTGTTCTGTTTTCTGCGTTGCATGATAAAGGCGAGTAGGTAGCAGTCGTCTCTGCTACACAAGCTTTTTGTTGGCCATCGCAAGGAACAATCCAACAAATAAGCTTAGGCGAAACCACATAAATGGCATTAAAAAAATACTAACAAACCAGTTTCAGAGGTGCGCAAAGATGCCTTTCGGGTCTTGTATATGAATTGATCGTTTGGACGACAGCTTTAGCTAACGTTGTTGATACATTCCACTGTTCCTCATCGTCCATCGCCGATTCCCAGTTCAGACAAGTACACCAGTGCATTTCGATGCCTGCCTGTAATTGCTCTCTTGAAAAATAAACACTGCTGGTGAAAAGAGAGCAGTGATGTCTTTTTTCTTTTCAAATGATGCCAGAATCTTTTTAAAACGAAAAAAATAGCGAGACGCACCAAATCAGCCAGTGCAATCATGCGTTTTACGCAGTTCGGCTCAGTCAACGTTTGCCTGCTAAAGATTTTCACTGCTTTGCACTTTGGCCTGCGCAAAAATATTTGAAATATTGTCTGGTTTCTAAGTTGAGAGACTTCCCAGCAAAAAATTCACGCACCGGCACGTGAAAGCTCAATCTGAAACCTCGAAGGGTGAATACTGTACCAAAATTTCAACCTCCTAATTTTCTCGCTTTCGAATGATTTTTGCGACAACTTTTACGCGAGACCTCGGCATACTTTGGAACTGAATTCGAGTTTGTGAAGCACCTGCCTGGGCAGGAAACATCCTCCTGAAAAATACAGCCTCCCAGCTCTTTAGATGATGATTTTTCCCACCAAAACTTTCACGAGGACGTTTGAGAATTTGCGAAGTCGTATGAGGGAAGGGGACGCTATGCCAGAGTTTCAGGTTCTTAGCTTTCGTGGTTTCCGAAGTAACAATCCCCCCCTCCCTCTCACGAAAAAAAAAGATTTCTATGGGATTGTACACGATAAGTAGACATAGGGAAAGCTAAACTCAAACCTGCGATGCTGCACTAAAGCAAGGGCATCACTGTAAAATTTTAGCTTCTTAGTTTTTGCAGCTAACGAAATAATAATTTTCCTGCCAAAACTTTCACAGAGCAGTACATGATACCCAAGGGTGCATGAAGGATGAATCCAAATTTGCGGGGTCGTACGTTGGTAGGGACATCATCCTAAAATTTCAGATTCCCAACTTTCGCAGTTCCTGACTCTTTGAAACTTTCTTGAGGCCTTCCGTGGTACCCGGACGCATGGGAATGCTAAATTTAAATTTGGGGGAATGCTAAATTTAAATTTGGGAAATTAAATTTAAATTTAAATTTTGGGAATGCTAAATTTAAATTACATTACATCAAAATCTCAGCTTCCTGGCTCCTATGGCTCTTAAGGTGATAATAAACCGCCAAAATTTTCACGGGGCCGTAGGTGATATCGGAGAGGGCCGGAACGCTAAATTTGAATTTGCGAGGTTGTACACAGGGAAGAGATCATCATTCCAAAAGTTCAGCTTCCCAGATTCCATGGTTCCCGGAATAATTTCCTCGCCAAGAATTTTACAAGGCCGCATGTGCTACAGGCAGGCGTGGGAAGGCTGAATTAAAATTTGAGAGGTTGCACGTGGACAGGAGACAATCACCTCAAATTTCAGCTTTCTAGATTCCGTGTTTTTGAGATAATAATTTTCCTGCCTTCACGGAGTCGTACGTGTTACCCGCGGGCACAAGAAGGCTGAATTTAATTGAGAGGTCGCACATAGGCAGGAGACAATCCCCTAAAACTTCAGCTTCCTAGCTTTTGTGACTCCCGAGATAACAATTCTCTCCGCCAAAACTTTTATGGGACCGTACGTGTTATCAGCAGGCACGGAAAGGCTAAATTTAAATGTACTAGGCCACACGGGGGCGGGGAACACTCCACTAAAATTCCAGCCGCCTAGCTTTTGCGGTTCCCGAGCTGAAAGTTGCGGACAAAATGCATCGAACACACACATACATACATACACAAATACATACACACACACACACACACAGACAACCCGTGACAATGTGCGTTTTGTGCAGCTGTCACACAGCGCAATACGCATATATGCGATCGGATGAGGGAAATCTGACTAGCAACGTGTGTTGACTTCACCAAAAAAGATGCAAAATTTAGTTGCACTGGCGCGAAAAGCAACTAAAAAATGTTGCATTAAAAGTGTGGAATTTTAACGTTGTTAGCCTTAGTAAGCTTGAATTCGGTGTTAAAACGCTAAATTCAAGCAAATTTAGGCTAATTCCTCCAAAACAGATGCGAACAAGATGGCGACACTACGTTTCAACTGCTTGAGTTTCACTTACAAAGGTATTTGTCTGCTGCAGCACGCCAACCAACCTCGCTACCATAAGACAACAATAGTACACTGAATATCTGCCAAAAAATGACCGTGAAAATCCAAGTGGGCTATGGTGAAGTCAAACGCTACTATCCCACAAGAAATCATCAAAACAGAGTCTCAACACTAGAAGATTTTTCTCTAATCCTGTAACAATTTTTTATGCGTTTTGTGCTGTGTAACAGCAGTACAAAACGCATATTGTTACGGGGTTGT